CTGAATTCATTAAAATTGAAGTTGTAGCTGTAAAAAGCTTCATATGAATTTTTTAAAAAATGCATTACGCACTTATTTTTTAAATAAAAAAAAAATGTTGAAACTACAATCAACTACAAACGATTCTGGACCTGAATTCACTAAAATTTAAGCGGTAGCTGTAAAAAGCTTCATATAAATTAAAAAAAAAAAACCATTACGCACTTATTTTTCAACTAAAAAATAATAATTTAAAACTACAATCCACTACAAACGATTCCAGACCAGAATTCATTAAAACTTTAAGCGGTGGCTGTAAAAAGCTTCATATGAATTTTTTTAAAAACGCATTACGCACTTATTTTTCAACTAAAAAACAAAAATTTAAAACTACAATCAACTACAAACGATTCTGGACCAGAATTCATTAAAATTTAGGCGCTAGCTGTAAAAAGCTGCATATGAATTTTTAAAAAAACGCATTACGCACTTATTTTTCAATTAAAAAAAACTTAAAACTACAAACAACTACAAACGATTCTGGACCTGAATTCATTAAAATTGAAGCAGTAGCTGTAAAATGCTTGATATGAATTTTTTAAAAAACGCATTACACACTTATTTTTCAACTAAAAAAAAAAATTTAAAACTACAATCAACAACAAACGATTCTGGACCTGAATTCATTAAAATTGAAGCTGTAGCTGTAAAAAGCTTCATATGAATTTAAAAAAAAAACGCATTACGCACTTATTTTTCAACTAACCACAAAAAGAAACTTACTACAATCCTCCAGAGAGTTAAATCTATCATATTCTAGGTATTTTTATCAAAATACATCAAGGTCGGGTGCCAACTCTACGGAGCTGGACAATCCTCCTCAAAGGAGGATGGTTGGTCAGCTTACTATAGCAGCAGTGTCGATTAAAAATTTGAACGAGGATTAATTGCTTTTCCGTGCGCTGTCGATGATAAGCACAGGGCGAGTTGCATATGGTTGCGTTGTCGCTAGATGTACTACCAGATTGCATTGCTATTATGTACTTTTTTTAATGAGGAGCCTATATACTCTGTCAGTGTGCGACTTTAACCAACCAAATCCCCTACTGTCGAGTACCGATTCCAGCGGTACTACCGTTAAGTACTCCGTATGTACACGGAGTCCAATAAGTTTGTACACAAAACTTGTTAATAAAATATATTTAAATCAAGTTATAAACTGGATTAATTTTTATTTTTAAATTATGTATGAAAGTATTACTTAAACGATGGCATAGTAAATAAGTGTTATATCGGTGGGATAGATCACTTTATATCGTTATCGCAGACATACGTTCTAAAATTGTTAAAAAAAAATTGATTTGGTCCCAAGGACGAATGGCCTCCGAGATCCCCTCTCTGTAGGTTAGGTTAGGTTAATCTGGCCGGCATTGAGCCGTACATAGACCGGTAGGTCCTTAGCGTTGCCAGTGGGAACTCGTTTTTACGCGTTAAAGTAGACGTCACTGAGAATGTCAACGCGTTTTGCGAATTTAAGTAGAATTTTCCAAAGCAGTTTAGTCATGTTTTTAACAGTGCAGGACATCGGCAGAGAAGATGTCCAAGGTTTCCGTGGTTTCCCGCTTACGACACTTCCTGCACCTGTCCCGCTAATGGTACCAATTTTTAGTACATGAGCAGCCACCAGTATATGCCCCGTAAGCAATCCGGTAATAACTCTGCAGTCTTCCATTGATAACCGTAAAAAGAAGCGAATATAGTTGCTTCCGCCGTTTTCGCACATAATTTTCGCAGTTTTGCAAGTGATTAACTCCTTCCATCTAGCCCTGAACTGCCTAATCATATTATCGTCTATTTCGTTGTACAGGTGTGGAAGTGGTCTACAAATGTAGTTTCTCTGTTCGAGAGTTAGAGAGAGGTGGCATTCTTGACAGTCTCATCTGCTATTTAATTACCCTCTATTCCCTTGCGGCCGGGCACCCAATAGATATGCAGCCATCTGTCGGTGGCCAGGCTGTCAATGGCTTCCCGGCTGCGAAGGACGTTTATGGCGCAAATACTATATGAGGTAACTGCCTTAATTGCCGCCTGACTATCTACGTATAGGTTTACTTTTGAATTGATTGTCGTTTCGGTGTTGGCTAGCTATTCTGCTATCCTCATTGCGAAAACCTCGATACTATCGATGGTTTTGGTTTTCTCACTATCGATAGTTTTGAAAAACTATCGAGTATTTTCAATATCAAAAATGTTAAAATAAAAATACAATCAAAAATAGTTAAAAGGAAATATCGCTCACTATCGCGCCTATCGATAGTTTGCCTTTACTACTTATACCATTTTCCCACGGCATCCTGAATTACTTTGTTCCCTCCCCCAATTACGATCGCGAATTACGCCATTCCCACGAGCACATTCTTAATTCGATTGGACCATGGCTCCAATATACGTCGCTGCTTCATCTCTATTAGCTACTTCAACGTCTTTTTGTAATATAAAGTTAGGTGACTCACCTCTTTCATTTATGTCCGCGCTTCCCCACACCGTATGATAGGCATTCACGTCGGATCCTACTATAAGGGGTTCCTTCCTATCGCCAGTCATTTCCACCAGCCTATGAAGCCCCTCGGCGGTGTGTCATTGTCTTGGGCCATGTAGCAAGACAAAACGAGTAGCGATGCATGGTTGACGGCCTTTACCATAACTGTCGTTCTTACCTTATTATACCCGAAGCGACCCAAGGTTCTTGGACTAAAGTCGCATCGTAGCCGGGGCCCTCTAAGTTGAGGAGAAGCTCGGCTGAGACGATTTTACTTTTATGGAGGTTTTTTTTGAAATACCTTGAGCGTTACCTTTAGGCTCCTTCTCAGGGTTGGGTTGAGAGGGGATTGTAGGGTCTCTTCGATGCCGAGATCCTTCTCCACTTCCCCAGCCTCAACCTCTCTGTAATCCCATGGACTTATGCAATTGGGTTTATATGCTGCAGAAATTTATGGATTACAAATACAAAAACTTTATGGATTTTAAAACAGTCATCCTCGATTTATAGGACAATATACAGAGCATGAACCGGTTTTGAAGAGACTTATGCGTGTTGTGGCAAATAAAATCCTAACAATAGAGTCACTTTTTAACTCAAATCTTTATACTCCAATTACGTAGTCAATATGTGTTAAACATGTGTTATATTGGTGCATCAGTTCTCTTTATATCGGTATTGCAGAAAAACTTCCTATAATTTAAAAAAAAAAAAATTGATTTTACTCCCAAGGAGGAATGGCCCCCAAGCTCACCTGACTTGGCTAGTACATTTTCTTCCAGGCACATTTATGGGTGCCTCCGGAGCTTTGAAATTTCCCACGTATTTTATATGAAAGAAATGCATATTTTCCTAGAATTTCTATAAAATCTTTAAAAACAATTTTTTTTTTGATCGGATGGAGAATATTTCCCCTAACAAACTCTTCAAAAAAATAAAATTGTGATGCATATTTAACAAAATTAAATAAAAACTTGAGTTGCTCGTGCAAGATGCGGTTGCAAATTGTTACCAATAACCAGTTGAAAGCATTTTTGTGTTTTGTTTTTGTTGTAACAGTATATTGAATTTCAATTCGGTCAGACCAAAATACTAATAGTGTCGTTCCCTATTGTTTTGAGATGTTTTTACTCTTAAGACTTATTTTCTTGGCATGCACAGGGCACGTTAATATTTAAAGTTCCCATTGCCGATGTAGCCTGATCAGCAGTGGTCAGACATGAAGATTCCGCAGATTTCAGTGGTTCACGTTGCTGTCTTTCACATTGGGATTTTTCCCAAGCTAAGTCGAAAGGATAAACAAGATTCTTTAGTTCTTCTGGACACTCATCTTGACTCGGAGATGTAGCTACTGATATTGAAGCGCCACGTGTATGAATGCGCTCTAACATGGCAGCATTATGAGTCTTGGCATTTAAAGATGTAATATATTCAAAAAGTTGTTCCTTCGTATATATATTCGGCAAACCACGTGTTTCAAAGAACTGAAATAAAGTAAGAGAAAACATTACTTAAGAAACAAAAAATTTATTTTAAAACTAGCAAATAAATGGCGTGGTTTACTGCGCCTTTAAAGTATTTTTGAGTTGTTACTCCCTCTCACTACATCCAAAACTCTTAAGCTCTTCCCAGAATTGCAGCGAACGACGATAGAGCAGTCGACGGTTAACCGCTGTCAAAAATTAAAAAACAATATTAACTAACACCCAAATTAAAAAAAAAATAAGACTTTAAATGCTTCATAAATTGAAATTGCTAATGGAAATCTCACTTATAAACCTCTTTAAATCTATTTATTTTTCATGAATGAGGCTATAAGAGCTTTGGATGTACTATGAAGTTAGAGGGAGTAACAAAATGCTTTGAAAGCGCAGCGAATCCCGCCGGATATTTGATATGTTGTAAATTCTTAATCATTAAAATTTTTTTAATGTTCGACTTTTCGATTGGTGGCAACTTTTCAAAGAGATGGTCTAGTGAATCCTTCTCAAAAACTTTTCATTTGGTTTTAATCTTGTAATATTTCATTTAATTTCGAAATTTTTTACTAGCTGAATAATCCCAACCTGAATAATTAATTAATCAATAATAATAATAATTTTTGATTAATCATAGAATTTCGCGATTAATTACATTTTCATTAATCAGAATCTAATTAATTTTATTAACCAGAAACCTGAATAAATGCTGCGATATATTCTTTTTTGTTATAGAAAAAATTTGTTACACGTACATATATGTATGTATTTTTTCATTTCAACGAGCAACATAGCAAGATGCTCGTTTGGCATTATATTTTTGTTAATTAGAAAAATATTGCATATTAAAAAAAATCATTTGCTTTGAAAGCAAACTCGAAAGAAATGAGCAAAGATACTCAGATTTCAATTAATTTTTTGCGAGTAAACAGTAATTACTCAGGATCTGAATCAACAGAATCAGATTAATAACGTTTTTCGATTAATCAAGATTATGATTAACTAAAAAATATTTCATCGGTTAATCGCACATCCCTAATTTAGATAGGGGACAACTCAATGGCAAATATTTCTTAATCGAAGATTTCTCAAATACCTTGCATTTGACACCCATATATATGTATGTGTACAGGGTGGCGACGAATAAATTTTACCTTAGTTTTTTTTTAATAAGGGTCCTTTACATAATTTTCAAAAAAAGTAGTTTATTCTTAATTTTGGTACAGATTTCACATTAATTTTACTAGTTGTCGTGTACGCGTTGGGAGCATAATTTATTTAGTTTAGTAGAAAAACTGTCCGTAACGGTTATATTTTTTGAGTATACATTTTTTAAGTAAGTTAAGATCGTTGCTGGCTGTGGAGTCCAAAATCAAGTGAGTTGTAAAATTCTTTAATTTGCTTTGTACGTACAAATTGCTAATTTGTTAATATATGTATAGTAGGGCGGGTAAATTTTTTTTTCGACATCGATCCTATCAGATTCGGATTCTACATGAAATTCTAAGAAAAAAAGCGCTTAACACCAAAACTATAAAATCAATTTCGAGCCTGCGCAATTTTAAAAGAAAATATCTTTAATTAATACTAAGTCCAAAATCAGATTAATGTTTACTTAAAGTGTTAGGAATGTTTTTTTTTTTGTAACAAAGAGTTGTGCTCCGGAGTTTTGTGATATGAAAAATTCATTACTGATATCTATTTTTTATTTAAAGAACCGCAAGATGGCGCTTCAAAGCAAATCTACTATATATTTGTGGAAGTATGTATGTATGTATGAGCCAGGTTGCAGCCTAGACGGATGGACAGAATCGAATAAAATTTTGCCAAAATATTGCCATGACTCCTGGACCTATAATAGGGTAAAAAAATTGGAACTCGCCAAGGGGGGAGGGGGGCGGAAAGGGGATGGGGGATACCTCCCATAGAGAAAATTTTTAGTCAGCTCAACTTCGGAATTATAGTCACATGAACTCGAAATTTGAAATGCACAGTTACCTATGGTAGGTGCTTCTGGAAAGATATATGCATATAAAGGAGTTTGTAAAAAGGGGCGTGGCACATCTCATTTATCAGCTATAACAGCAGGCAGTATTAGTGATCTCATTGTATTGCATTTTGAAGATTTGTTATAATTGATCAAGGTGAAATTCAAATAAATTATAGATGATATGAAGTTCACCGGGTCATCTTCTAGTCTTTAATATATACTACTTAAGTTAATATACGGATTAATATTTACTAAAGTGTTACGAACGTTATTTACGTTCTTGCCGTTATATATTTTTCATCCACTCGCTTATTCCTTACCGAAAATTTGAAATAAAAATTTAACAAGTTTTAACCGCTGATACAGTACAGGTAGCAGTTTAAAATGGGTAACTGGGTAAACTTAATAAAGAAAATATTTTCTCTGGTGAAATTAATAAGCCTGCCCGGATAACACAAAAGCTTAAGCTTAATAAACATTTAATGTTATAAAAGTTTTATAAAGCTCTACTTGTAATTAGGAAAAATGCCGAAAAAAATTATAAAATTGATTGATTGATTGATAAAAATAGAGAGGGAGTTATGGATATGACAATAGAAAGTAGAAAAAAGATACCAAGTGTTGAAAGCAAAGTTTTATTTACTTACAGTAACGGACAAAAGTATAGGCACAGTGAATTTTTCGCAATATAGGCAAAGTATTTTTTAGAAAAATTCCAAGTATGCAGTTTAATAATCCATTCATTTTAGTTTATCAAAGTGCAAGTTTGAAGTTACTTGAAAATCTGAATATAAAATTGCAAATTTGTATGCAGATTTATTGAATTTTCCTGAGTTTTGCACAAAGTTTACACATTTGATTTTTATGTGTTTTGGTGTAGTATGAACTATGCTTTTATAAAAAATTATCGGAAATCAATTAAAAACTTTGCATATATGTAATGCGGAAATTTGCTGTGCCAAAACTTTTGTTCGACACTGTACATATAAAAAAATACATACAGTAACTTCTCCCGTTACAATAGTAAAAATATGTAATTTGCTTTGTAGTGCAATCTTGCGGTTCTTTAAATAGATATCAGAAATAGATTTTTCGTACCAATAAACTCCCAAGCACAAAAAAATATATCCGTAACACTTTATTAAATATTAATCTGCATATTTTATTAGTTCGTCGGAATATTTTTTTATGTATGTTACCGCATAACTTTGGACTACGTAATCCGTTTTCTATAATTCTTTTTTAAAGGAAAGGTGGTTCCTCAGAGGTAGTCTCCTACTAATTGAGTGCAGATCCGATAATTGGGCCACGAAGAAATTAACGGTACTCTTAAACGTATATGAGAATTGAAGTCGGTTTTGTTTTTTGTTTAAAATTTACTCCAGTGTAAACAGGTTCTATAAAAGAGTCGTAGGACATATTTTTTTTGTTAGTTCAATTGTGGGACATTTGTATGAACTGCTTCGGCAAATACTTCGGCTTTTGTTCTCTTTTTATATTGAGGCTAAGTGCATTGTTCGATGGGGTGATATCATTGCCAAACATGATAGTGCTTTGTTTGCCATCAATATCTTGACGGAGTTACAGTATTCCACATTGATGCGAGCCTCAAAAGCTTTGAATAATAATTGCGAGTATGGCTTTTAGTTTTTACCGCTCAGGCCTATAGAAAGTATTTCTTAATCAATAATTTTTCAAATACTTATCGTTTGACACCTATATTATAATACAAACTTTATCTTATTAACTTAATTGAATTAAATTTTCGAAATTGGTGGCAACTCAACTCAAAAATATTTTCGGTAGTAAGCCTTCTTAAACATTTTTAATTTGATACCCATATTGCAATATTTATCTCACCAATTTAATTTAATTAAATTTTGAAACAGGTAGCAACCCCCCTCAAAAATATTTTCGCTTGTAAGCCTTCATAACCTCTTTCTTTTTACACCCATATTACAATATCTAATTTAAGTCATTAATTTACTTCTACTGAAATTTTTAAACAGGTGGCAACTCTCTATTTTTTTCAGGTTTTAACTATCCGGATATTATAAAAAACAAACCAAAAAAATAAAAATATTCAAATCGGTCAAGCCGTTTTCGAGTCTTAGCGAGGCTAACGGACAGCAATTCATTTTTATATATAAGATATCTTCTTTTAAAAATGCGTAGGCTCGAAATTGACTTTCGAGCTATGATCTGGAGGATTTTTTTCCTAGAATTTTATGAAGAATCCGAATATGCTAGGAACAATGTCGAAAAAACGATCCATACAAATTGACCCGCCCTAATGTATATATATTATTAATTTGTATTTAGAGAATAAACCTCTCATCTCGCGATCAGACCGTAATACAACATTGGCGGCAGTGATGCCGTTTTGATACATATGTATCCAATTGGATAAATTTTCGCCTTGAATTTTGAGGGATACTTCGTTTTTTTCCTCAGTGCAAATTTGGATACTTTTTCCCATAAATATTCGTAAGTTGACGGAAATTTTGTTTAATTATGTACGAACTATTATAACGTTTTTAACAGTTGGCTGCTCATCCTCCAATCAAGAAATTTTCCTTTATTCTTGTCAGTTTGAAAAATAAATTTTTTAGCTACATAAACGTGCATTTAATAACGCCAAGTAGTTTGCAAATTTAAAAAAGTTTTCCGACCTGTAGTAGTTAACTGTAATGCGAAAAAATCAACTTTTACATCCTGAGCAACCCTTCTCTTGGCATTCAAAGGAAATTGACAACCATGCCGATGACTAATTTTCAACAATAATTTGACTACTACAATTAACTTATAACTTCTAAATTTTCAGTTATATGTCGCTAAGCGAGAATTCAAAGAAGCCGGAAATAGATATTTTTCTTGACGGCGGAATTTAGAGACAAATGCAAGTTTCTGAGAATTTTTTTAATTTCATAGATAGCTCCCAATCCACCAGTTTGATTGAAAAACATTGTAACCATAATAGCAGGAAATAACAATTTACTGAACTACATAAATGTAACAGGTCAAAATTAGTTTTGATAGACTAGGAAAAATTTGTGCATGTATTATTTGTGGCTATCTAAACGCAGTAATAAACATTGAACATGCGGAAACTTTGGCCCGTAGTTTTGGTCAGTATTTTTCCATTCTAAGAAACAGATCTGGGAAACAAAGGCCCGTAGTTATAGTCAAAGTTAGGTCGACACTAAAGTTAGTTGCAGCTTTTTTGACAGGTATCCCATTGGGAATTATGTCGAAAAGCTGCAATTAACTTTAGAGTCGACTTAATGTTGACTATAACTACGGGCCTTTGTTTCCAAAATCCGTGTCTAAGTATGGGAAAATACTGTTAATAAGTTTGTTAAGGGGCCGAGTTTCTCTTCCATAGATGTACTGTGTAAAAATGTCCGCTCTTTTCGGTGGATACATGTGGATACAATTTTCGATTTTTTATGCATACTGTAAAGGCTAAGGCAGTGGCAACACTGATTGGCGGTCTTTATTCAATTTTGGAGCCAGCTAGCAGCAAATCTCCACATTAATATCTGAGAGAAAAGCGCAAGCGGCACTGCAACTACAGGCTATTTTCTTCCATTTTAAGGCTTTTTACCCGCCACTTTGTCCAACATAAGGCTTAATACTCAGAAATCGAATAGAATCGGAACTGAATGCTAGGAGGGCCATTCATTCGACCAACCCTATACAGATTCTTCTTTTTTGTATTTTTTTATACAAACTAAGTCTTAGAAAAAGTATACCTTCAAAACACTAGCGTGCGGCATGTGCTTATCTCACAAAGTTTACACCGCTGGCAAATGCAAATAAGGATTGAAATTTCAAAACTAATTATATTTTAGTTTCAAATTAATTATGCCTTGTTCGTGTGGACAAAAAGTCGATCGCTTGCAATCTAAAGTGCAGTGCGCGAAATGTAATGAGCTCTTCTATTGCGATAGCTGTGCTGATGCACGCCGGGAGTCTATTCGTACGCCTCCACCGCCTTATGCTGATGGTGATCGGCCAGCCGACCACAAATTAGAGGCTGCTAAATCTACTGTTGCTACTGCTGCCAAGTCACAATCGGCTACCTCTGCCGACAACAAATCAAAAGCTGCTAAATCTACTGCTGCTACTGCTGCCAAGTCACAATCGGCTACCTCTGGTAAACTCAACGAGAATTCTAATAACAACAATCAACTAATATCGTTGGATTCGGATTTGAATGCAATTGTGTAATTACGCTCGGAGAATGTGCGTTTGCAAGAACTCATTGCGGCGCTGCATGAAAGCAATATTAATCTGGTAAACAAAGTGGAAAGCATGCATTCCGATCTCCTGTCTATGCAAAAAAAAGCTTTGCGAAAAAGATGGCATGATAAATCTGCTAACAACTGAGGTTAATGGCCTACGTTCTGCTGTTAGTGTTGCTTTGGAGAAGCTGGGTGAGGGTAAAGAAGCAATCGTTGAAATAAATTCATCTAATTCTACCCTCCCTCCTTCTTCGTTTGATCGTACTGATGGCTTTTCAACTGCTGCTGATAACGCTCTGTCAGCTGCTGCGTTTTCGCCTCAACTTAATAATGTACAAATTCCCAACAAACATTCGGCCGTCGGTAAAACCTTATTAACTCTGATAGCCCGAACACAATGGAAACGACGAGCTACAAACCACAGCTGTCAAATTATTTTAACACGTACTCTTATGTAGATAATTATTTTGGCGACGACCGGGCTACGCGACGGCTGTGGTTGTGGCCAGATTAGATCTATTTCTATTTTTCTGGCGACAGATAAGGTTCTTCCTCTTCTTTTATGTCAAACTCATACAAAATCCTTGATGTCGCTGCCGCGTTTAAAGAAATCATGTCGCCATCGACAAAGCGTTGTTTTCAATGTGTTCAGAACTTGATGCCTACAAAATTGCCTGCGTTGCCTACTACAAGTGACGGTGTGGGTGTAGCTGCTGCTGCTGATGCCGTCGGTAAAACCTTATTAACTCTCATGCCTACAAAATTGCCTGTGTTGCGTACTACAAGTGATGGTGTGGGTGTGGCTGCTGCTGCTGATGATCTTCGACTGAACAATCAGCACTCTCTCAACAATTACTCGGCCTCTGGCGAAATTTCATCGTCCCCTTTGCCTATGCTGTCCGCTGAGCAGTTCTCTACGTTGCCCAGTTCAAGTGTAGGTATCAGTGTTGCCGTTTTAGCCCTTTGGTGGCTAAATTTAGCTACCACATACTTTTTTCGGCCACATAAATTTAAAATTGCCCTAGCCCTTTTTTTAACCCTTTTTAGAATTTATTCATACTTGGCATGAAAAAGTTGTATATGCTTAATTTGTTTTTTTTTTGCATTCATGTAAGAGATGAATTTTTAAACTAAAAAAGACTGATATATATACATATATGTATTGTATGTTCCTTACGCTTTTATAAATACATACTGTAAAAGTATTGGGGCTGCTAACTTATCTTTTAACAATTTAACTATAGTTTACAATATATAAGTTCACGGCCCTTAATATGCTAAGTTTGTTAAATGACCCATGAAGTCGATTGACCGTGTATGTTCTTGTGGTGTGATTGTACCAGCATGCTGGTGTCGTTAGTGGTGAAATTAGCTCAATTTTCTAAGTTAAAAGTATTTTGGCGGAAATTTCTTGCACTATATGAGTCAAAGCCGTGTTTGTGGAAGATTACGTTCACGATATCGCAGTTGTGAATTACAAAAAAAAAAACAATGTTTAACAAAATGCTAGAAAAATTATGAAATTTCGGCTCTAATCATTTCGATCTTTTCTCGACCTCATTTGTAAAGAAATAAATATTGTACCAGCATGCTGGTAAGTTATATGCTTCGAGCCTGATGGTACAATCACTTGATGGAATCAGCAAGCTGGTGTCGTATATTTCCCCTTTTATACAAAAAGGTTTTTGGTTGGATAAAATATTAGCTTTTTTTCCAGAGTTCATTGTTTTTATATACCATTACTTATTGAAAATGTTTACGTGTATACTTATATATGTATATGTAACTAAAAAATTTTAGCTACCATTTTTAGCCACAACGACTTTTTTTAGCTCTTTTTTAGCCCTTTTTTTAAAGGAATTTGGCTACCACTAAAAATTATGCGCGGCAACACTGGTTGGTATGTGTGTGGGTAATAATACAGTCGCTCATGAGAGCATTTTGTTGGGAAGCTCTGGCCTTCGTTCGGACTCGTCTAATGTGAAGATGACAACTAGTGCTGCTTCACAGCCCGATGCACAAAAATACAATTGGGTCAATGTTACACGTAGGAAAGGCAATAGTGTTGGCTCTAACACAAATGCGGAATTGAAATTTGCCGCGCAGATAAGGTGGATTCATCTCTCTTCTTTTATGCCGTCGGTAACTACAGATTATGTGAAAGCGTACATTGAAAACCACACTGGAATTAAAAAGAGCTCTTTATTTTGCCACTCACTAATTAAGAAAGGAACCTCAGCTAGTAGCTTGAAATACATCAACTTCAAGCTTGGAGTCGAGGAAACCTCAATTGATAAGCTGTTGAATCCTGAGATTTGGCCCACCAATGTCACTGTACGCCCTTTTCGGTTTTTTCAGCGTAAAAAATCCCAAGCAACACAATCATAGTGCAAATCATTCTGCTGCGCATCTGTGCAAAAAATCATTGGGCATATACTATCAAAATATCTCTGGTATGCGAACGAAGTCGGAAGCGGTATATAGGTTGAGCTCGCATCTGGATTTTAATATTTTCATTTTGATCGAAACCTGGCTGAACCCGAACTTTTTTGACCACGAATTCTTCGATCCAAATTTGTTTGATGTTTTCCGCAAAGATAGAGGTCCCATCAAATCCGGTTGCAATAGGGGTGGTGGTGTTCTTATTGCTGTACATCGGAGTTTTCGTGCTTCTTTAGTTAAGCTTGCTAATTGTGACAGCCTACTAGACCAAATCTGTGAATGTCTACATAGTGCATCAAGGAAGTTTCATATTGCAGCTTCATATATACCGCCTAACAGAAATGAATACATTTATAAATCGCATGTAAATAATGTGCTTGCTCTACAGACTAAAATCGGGGATAGTCAGCTTCAATGCTAACACCTTCAAATATTAACAGTATAGTAGAATTATATCTAATTGATAATTTCCTTGGTATTGAATTATCGCAGATAAATAATATCTTTAATAGTTTGAATCATATTTTAGATTTAGTTTTTATCTCTCAAAACATTAAGTCTATATTATGTGAATGTCTTTTGCCTATTTCGCCAGCTAGTTGCCACCATGCCTCCTTGAGTATTAATCTAGGAACGTACGAGTTTTTTAGCACCTCTCCAGGAAGCAATAATATCCAGTTTAATTATAACAAATGTAACTTTGCAGTACTAAATGGGTTTTTTGACAATATTGACAGGAATTGTCTTTTTGCGGATTTTGAGGCTGAAAAATGCTTTGACATTTTTAAATCTAAAGTCCATGGTCTATGTAAAATAAACATTCCTGCATACTCATCTAAAACTTATAAGCAGCCTTGGTATACAAAGGAGCTGAAGCACTTGTTAAACCAAAAAAATAGATTCTATAAGAAATACAAGGCTTCAAATATTCCACATTATTTTGCCACGTACAAGCAGCATTTGGATAGTTTTAATGGACAGAAAGCTATACAAGTCGTACATTAACATCCATGAGTCGAACATTAAAAGAAATCCTAAGGTTTTTTGGAAATTCATCAAGCAAAAAAGATCCAGTTCAAATATTCCGACGTCAGTTTTCTTTAAGGATCGGGCTGCTAAGTCTTTGGAGGAAGCTGCAAATTTATTTGCTGATTTTTTTAGTTCGAATTATGTCACCAATTCTAATTCACCTCATGTTGAAGACTTTCTTGCCACAAACTCATACTTGTCTCTGGGTAATTTGTCCCTCACAACTAATGATGTCGAACAAGGAATCTTAGCTCTGAAACTCTCAATGCTAACGGATGCCGACGGTTTGTCACTTACTTCTTTAAAATTCACGGAACCAGTTCCATCCTATAGCTCACGGTGCATGCTCATAGACTTGTCATCCTTGAATAACAGAAGGGCATTTTTGTCTTGCTCTTTTGTGACTAGTGTTATAGGTGGGTTTGTTGACTGCCGTGCACTTCTGAGTAGGATAAATTTTAATGTTTTAATGTTAGCTTAGCCTTCCTAGTCAGTAAGAATTTTGTATTCATTGGCTAATAAATAATAAATAATTAATTAATAAAATAAAAGTAAGATAGAGTAAGTTAGGGTAATGTGATATGGGTGGGTAAAGTGATATACCAGCATATTTTCTAGACTATGCATGTCGTTACAAGAATATTTTTGCGAATACAACAGCAACGATTAAAAACTATTGCTGGAAGGCAGCGCGTGTTTCTGAACGCATAGTTGACTATCAGTGGGCAAAGGCCTTTTCAACTGTGCGGTCGCAAATATTTTAGTGCGCGCTGCGAAAAAAGATTAGTGAGAAATTTACGTAGATTTTGAATGTCTAATACTTTATTTTGGTTCTTCGTGAATATATTTAATTACAATTCATGTAGTTTTTTATATCTTTTAGTGTGCTTCTATGAAAAACATATTTTTGGCATAAAATAGAGTTTGGCTAATGTGATATAGTCAAAGTGGTTTAATGTGATATGGTATATCACATTAAACACGCAGTATATCACATTTAACAAATAGCTTATCCTGTAAATACAAGTAAGGGCAAATAAATTTTTATCTATAGGCCATGCCGAAGAAGGCGAAATTCGTAAGTGGGATGCAGAAAACATGAAAAAAGCCATCCAGGATGTTAGAGGCGAGAAGATGGGAATACTTTTGGCTTCAAAAACGTATGGTGTTCCATTAAGCTAACTATTTGTAGAACAAATTTTGAAATGCATGATGCTTTTCGTTGCCTATGCCAGGACTTTAATAAGCATTACGACTATTTTGACACCTCCGACTCACTTTTTACCATTAAAAAAACCTTACTTGAGATTTTGAATAAATAAAAAGAAAAACTGTATTTCTGTTCAGTTTATGAGGAAAACGGGGTCGACTTGCATACTTTCCTGACTGCGCCACGGTTGTGTTGAGCGTTTGTAAATCTAACTTTGAAATGCATGATGTTTTACGGTGTTTATGCCAAGATTTTAACAAACATTATGATTGCTTCGACATACCTGAATCGCTTTTTTCTAACTAAATAAATTAATATATATCTTTAACCGGGACGAAAAATTACACAATATCTATTGCTGCTTAGTACAATTGTAATCGGCTTCGCTGCCATGAAAAATTTCATTACACCAAGGGAGATCTCACCACCGCCTAAGCTGAAACAGAGTACCAGCTCCAGAGGTAAACGATCAAAAGCAACAGTACTAACAACATCATCATACAAAGCATCTTTGGAGGAAAGCATCAAAAATATTGAAAAGCGTAAAAAGAGACAAAGTGTAAAAGATGCACAAAAACCGGCTAAAATGGTGAAAGTACAACGGCTAAACAAAGCTAGGGAAAGTTCGTCAAGCGAATCGGAAAAAAGTTTGCTTCTACCCAGTTCAGAGGAGAAATATTGGGCAGAAACTCCACCTAGTAAGGATATTGTTTGCGCTTTTTGCAGCAAATCCTTTGAGGCGGATGAGGAAGCCAAAATGTGGATACCATGCTTGCATGCGACTTAGTATGGGCGTATAGCAAATGTTTGCCTAAACGTCAAGCAATATTTGTTTGCGAGTTTTGCGACTAAATTTGGAAATACATACCGTGACGAACAAAAGTATTGCCACAGTGAATTTTTCGCAATATATGCAAAGTTTTTTATTCCAATTTATTCTCGATAATTTTTTATAAAAATATAGTTAATTTTACAAAACTCAGGAAAATTCATTAAATTTGCACACTAATTTGCAACTTTTTATTCAGATCTTTTAGAACAATTCTAAGTATGCAGTTTTTAGTCCATTCAATTTTAGTCAAGCTTGTTAATTAATCCGGCCTTACTTGAGACCCCCTCTGATTCCACAGACGATACAGGAACGCAAAGGTATTTAGTATTATATAGGTATATAAAGCAGACAATATTGAGGAATCGTAACGGTAAGCAAATTAATCAAACCTTCTTCATTCACTTTAATGAACAGTTGAAGATCCTTGATTAACGTTTGTATAAACATTTTTCTGCAATAAAGCTTGTCCAGAGTTCGGCGATTATTAATAATTAATCCGTCCTTACTTGAGACTTCCTCTGATTCCTCAGACGATACTGGAACGCAAAGGTATTTAGTATTATATAGGTATATAAAGCAGACAATATTGAGGAATCGTAACGGTAAGCAAATTAATCAAACCTTCTTCATTCACTTTAATGAACGGTTGAAGATCCTTGATTAACGTTGAATAAACTGCTTGAACTATTCCTTTTACATCGACTTTCATTGCCATATACATATTTATGTATGAATGTAAACTGAGGAAGTGCTAAAGGTAAAACGTAAGTATTCAAAAGAAACTGTAAAACGAAATTTAAAGTATGTAATTGTATACACAATATAATTTTAACACAAGATCTTAATATTTTAAAAGTAAATATACTTGTAATTTTTATCACACCAAAAGGTTTGTGCAACAGATCTTGTGGTGCCGTATGATGATGAAGATAACAATGTAAGAGCCGCGGTTTTATGTAGTTTGTCTTTTCCCTTTTGACGCCAAGTTTTATTAGCAGCGTTACAAATCGTTTCAGATTAGATAGATAGATTTAAATGTTTTTTTTTTTAACAAAGAATATTCTAGAAATGGGCGTGGCTATATTAAAACCAAAGTTCAAAAATTTAGACTTTATTGTGGATTTCGCCAGAATATCTATATGGATTGAAAAAGTAGTGGAACAAATGTCGTTAACGAAGCGATATTCTGTCGAAATCCGCAATAAAATCCGCGTTTTGCTAACTTTAGTCCTGCAATTGCCACGCCCATTTCTAGGGGTTTGTCGCCTTACAGAACAATCATGCCGTACAAATATTATTAGGTAGGTATTCTATCGGAATCCGCAATAAAATTTTACTGTTTGTTTACTACCTTACTAAATATATCTCATCATAAGTTTTCGAAAATAAATTACAAAAAATTATTGATTCTCACAAAATAAACCATCTCGTCATAAAGAAAAATATTTTAAAAATAGTTCTTGAAAAACCTCCATTTTTTTAACCACGTTTTTTATACAGAATTAAACACGGATTACGATGGTATAATCTTTAATCCCTAATTTACTGGTCTTCACTATGGAAATCAACTTCAAAAAGTTCAGCTGTTAATAGCTAAGTTAGCTTTAGGACAATCTTGACGATCTTATATAGAGAAATGTTAAGCCCGTCTCTTTAGCTTCAAAACGACGTGAAGGGGAAGTCTCTACGGTGCTTATAGTACGCTATATATAAGTGAGTTTATAAAAGGGGGCGTGGCACTTACCATAGGCGTGGAAATTTTTGTCAGCTAAAACTTCGGACCCATAGTCACATGAACTTCATATTTGGTATGCAGGCATACCTATGATAGGTGCTTATAGTAGCATATATATAAATTAGTTTGTAAAAGGGGGCGGGACGCATCCCATATTCGGGGAAATTTTTCTCAGCTATAACTTCGGAGCCCTGTCAAATGAAATTGTAATTTAGTATGCGGACATATGTATCTATGGTAGGTGCTTATAGGAGGGTACATGTAAATGAGACTGTAAAAAGGGGCGTGGAAATTTTTAGCAGTTTTACCTTCGGAACCACTAGTCACATGAACTTGAAATTTCCCTGAAACTTAACTAATTTAAAAGTTATTTATAAACTACTTTATTTTCAATTATAACTAATTGAAATTCTCACTATTTTACCTGCAACGAACTCATTTATTTGACATGGCGATGTCCTAGGAAGCAGTCAATTACCTTTTCCTGCATGTATTTTCAACTAATTTAAAATGCATTTGGATTAAACAACTTTTAGGTCAGTCGTTTGAATTCGCTTTCGTTCTGCACTTCACGGATGCTTTTTCATAATCAAGAAAACCTGAATAAATTAAATATTTCGCCTAATGAGATTTGAACATGGACACTCATGGCCGCAACCAATTGTAGCAAACAGCTTTGCGCGCTCAGCTACAGCCATACATGTAAATGTGATTTCAAATGTTCAGTTGAATTGTGTGCAAGCAGCAAGTCGACTGTCCGACTCTGCATTTAATTCCAACTACTTTAAAATGATTTGCGTTTAAAAAACTTCAAAGTATGTTTCTTTTGAAAACGCTGCGTTCTGCACTTCACAGATGCTTTTTCATACTTCCAAGAAGACGCAAATTGTTTCTTTGAGTAAAAAAAGTATCGAAATTCGAAACATTTACTCATTGCACTTGTTTTAAAGTAGTCCTTCAATTAGCTGATTTAAAAAAAAAAAATCAATTGCTTCCGTCAGGGTTGGTGTGCAGACATACCTATAGTAGGTGTTTATAGTAGGGCATATATAAATTGGCTTGTAAAAGGGGGCGTGGCACATCCCATATTCGGGGAAATTTTTATCAGCTATAACTGCGGAGCAGAATGTCACATGAACTTGAAATTTGGTATGCATACATATCTATGGTAGGTGCTTATAGTAAGGTATATATACAGCGTGGCGACGAATAACTGTTACCCCGGTTTTTTTGAGAAATAAAAGGGTCCTTTATAGATTTTGCGAAAAAAGTATTTTATTGTCAATTTTCCACAGATTTTACTTTAGTTGTATTAATTAGTTATTAAATTTTAATCCCTATTTACATTTGCCAGCAGTTTAAACTTTGAGAGAAAAGTTCATTTGGCACGCAAGTCTTTTTCAGGTGTATTTTTTCTTAGGCTTTGTATAAAAAAATACAAAAAAGAAAAAACCTGTATAAGGTTGGTCGAATGAATGGCCGTCCTAGTCACCAGTTCCGAGTCTATTCGATTTTTGAGTATGAGCCCTTATTTCGAACAAAAGCGGGAGTATAAGGGACTCAAAATGGACAAAATTTGCCTATGGTTACAGAAGATATGGAATAAATTAACTGACGAAAACCTGCGTGCCAAATGAACTTTACTCTCAAAGTTTACACTGCTGGCAAATGTAAACAAGGATTAAAATTTGAAAACTAATTAATACAACTAAAGTAAAATCTGTGGAAAATTAACAAC